CCATTACTGGGTTATATACCCAAAGGATTATAAATATGTGCTATGTAAAACACATGCACACGTATGTGATTGCAGCCACTATTCACAATAGCAAAGACTTGGAATCAACACAAATGTCCAATCAGAGACAGATGGAGTGAAGACAAATGGGCACATACACCAAATACTATGCAGCCTAAAAAGATGAGTTTGTGTCCTTTGTAGGACATGGATGCAGCTGGAAACCCATCATCCGTGTTAGCAAACAGATCCATATAGAACAGAAAACCAAACCCGGCATGTTCGTCACGTCATAGGTGGTGAAGCTAACAATGAGACTTCCCTGGATCAGGAAGGGAACATCGACACACCGGGGCCTATCATGGGGAGGGGGAGGGGGGAGGACTGCATTGGGAGTATGACACTGATGTAGAATGACGAGTGATGGGTGCAGGCACCAGAACAGTGGACCAAGCGTAATACATATGTAACAAACCTGCACGTTATGCACATGTACCCTATCAACTTAAAGTATGAATAGATAATAATAAATTAAAAAAAAAAAAAAAAAAAAAAGAAATGTTGGAAAATGTGGCACATATACACCATGGAATACTATGCAGCCATAAAAAAGGATGAGTTCGTGTCCTTGTGGGGACATGGATGCAGCTGGAAACCATCATCCTCAGCAAACTGTTCCATCCTCAGCAAACTATCGCAAGAACGGAAAACCAAACACCACATGTTCTCACTCATAGGTGGGAATTGAACAATGAGAACACTTGGACACAGGAAGGGGAACATCACACGCCAGGGCCTATTGTGGGCAGGGGGGAGGGGGGAGCGACAGCATTAGGAGATATACCTAATGTAAATGACGAGGTAATGGGTACAGCACACCAACATGGCACATGTATACATATGTAACAAACCTGCACATTGTGCACATGTACCCTAGAACTTAAGGTATAATAATAATAAAAAAGAATATTGCTCCATAATTATTCTGACTATATTGTGATATACCTTGATTAAAAAATATGTATTAAGGTTTAAAATATCAGGATAGAAATGCTCAGGAAACCTAAATAAACATGATCTGAAATGTACATGCAGCAATCCAACTACATAGAAAATTATTTTAGAAAAATGTAAGATGATGAACTACTGTTTTATAAAAGCATTAATAAGAAAGGGAGGTTACTTTTATAAAGTGGTGTATCTCTGACCAATATGGATCAATTCTACATAATTTCTCTTAAAATAAGTCATCTAATAAAGAAGTAGCTCCTTTAGTGTTTTCTCTCTCCCACTTCTGGATGGTTTCTTAGATTGGCTAATCTAAACCTTTAGCACTAAAGAAAATCCAAGCAATGCCAGACTATACTCACTTCACAATATTTCTAGTTCTTTTTTTAAAAATTATTTATTTATCTTTTTTTCTTTTATGAGATGGAGTCTCGCTCCATCACCCAGGCTGAGGTACAGTGGTACGATCTTGGCTTATTGCAACTTTTATCTCCCAGGTTCAAGCAATTATCTTGCCTCAACCTCCCAAGTAGCTAGCATTACAGGTGTGTGTCACCATGCCCAGCTAAAACCATGCCTGGCTAATTTTTCTATTTTTTAGCAGAGAGGGCATTTCACCATGTTGGCCAGCCTGGTCTTGAACTCCTGGCTTCAAGCGATTCTCCAGCCTCGGCTTCCAAAGTGCTGGGATTACAGGCATGAGCCACTGCGCCTGGCCAGATATTTCTAGTTCTTCATACCACGTTTGGCTGATCCTTTCTTGACCCTGATCCAATCTACTCAGTCATACCTTTTAATATAAAAATAGGTCTTGTAAAAGTAATAAAGTTAATTCTTTGCTTAGTTTTCCTTCTTCTCATAAAACTGGGATAATATTCAGCCCAGTAATGACCTCACAGTTTTGGATTTATGATGGAATAATACCTATATGTTTAAGTACCATGACTTGACTACGGAATCATGTTCCCTTATGAACAAGGCTGGCAATTCATATTTTGTTTTAAAATATTTAGTTATGAATATAAATGCTATATTACAGTGTTTTAAAAACAGAAGGAAAAAATAATCCTACTTTCTAAAACAAATACTTAAATAAAAAAATCTTTATTTTAATAAGCTTCACTTTATGACTAAAGGTCTTCCACATTGACCACAAAATGAGTATTTCTAAGTCTGAACAGTAAGAAAGGGCTCAAGATAATGGCTAGCTCTTTGGGAAGCTGAATGTTTTGTTTATAGGCTGTTTTGTAACATTTCCCAAGCATTACCAGCATGTTCCCAACTCAGGGATCTCCCTCCTATACTCCTCTCTCAGCTGTCTATGGTCAGGAAGAGAAATCCTAACTCTATATCCAGAGTTTCAAAATTCTACTTCCTTCTTCCTGGATGTCTAATAGAGCTACGGTACCAAATAACCTTTTATCAGCAGGTCTACCATCTTACAAATGAGGCGCATTAGTCTAAAAATTCTGTAATTATAAAGCTGTAGGTACATAAAATGATGTTATTACTTTTACTAATGTAAACACTTTCAAACAAAAAGTTCCAGGTTGACTCCATCTCGTGGGAACTCCTGAAACAAAAGAGAAAACCAAAATGCACTATACATAAAGTATGCTCATGAAAATTTACCCTGAACACATACTTGTCGCTCCAGATCCTGAATTTTTTTGGCATCTGCTGCTTTATCTTTTAAGCGTATCTTCTGCTGAATAGATGGATTCCCAGATTCAGCTTTCAGTTTCTCAATCTGTCAATAAATAAATAACATGCTAAGAAGCATATTTAAATGTAACAGAAAAGTTCCGGGGGTGGGGGGCAGCATAATATTAGGTATTCATTCATTTATTAATTCCTCAGCAAAATTTGGGGAATTAATGCCTCAAATTCCTTGAGCTCCTCCCAAGTTCCAGGTACTTCCTAGATCTGGCAGGAGATATGGATGGCAAACAACAGAAACTAGGTCCCTGCTCCCAAGATGCTTATGCTCTAGCAGAGGGAGAGAGTTGATAAGCTAATAAATAAAGTAAATCAAAGGGAAAATGAAAAACCTTCAGAGTGGTAAAGGCTAAGAAGAAAATAAAACAGAGTGAAGGGATAGGAACAAAGAACCAGAAGTTGAGAGATTGGCAGCTACATTAGGAAAGGGAGTCAGGAAACATCTTTTCTAGAGAGTAGATATTTGAGCCAACAGGAACAAGGAGGAGGAGTGAGACACAGAAAGAACTCAGGCCAAAGTATTTCAGGCCAAGAAAACAAGTGGAACGAGTCCAGCATCTTCAAGAATCAGAGGAGCTCTGATGCAGCTGGAGAAGAGTGACTCAGGGGAGTGTGGTATCCGATGACACTGAAGAGGCAGGCAGGGTTTGGACCCCATGGGGGCCCGACAGGTTGTGATAAGGAGCTTATATTTATTCTCAGTCTAATTTAAAATAGACTATATATCTAAAAGCAAACCAGCGATCTTAATTAATAGTTCAGAGTAATGATGCAATGACAAAAGGTTACGTAGAACTGATATTACAGATAACAGGATTCATCTAGAGAAGAAATACATTCTGAAATGATCCATTACCTCAAGTCTGAGTTTCTCAATTTCCTCATTTGCTTCTCTAAGCCGAAGTGCATCTTTATCCAGAAGTTCCTGATTTTCAGCATACCACTGTAATCTTTTTTGCAGACGACTGATTTCTTGTTTATGTGTTTCTTCTAAAATTTTTATTTCATATAATTTTTCACCTATAAGATAAAATAACTCAATAACCTGCTTGTTGTTCTCCAAAATATGGAAATAAACTAAATTAAAAGATTTTAAACGAAATGCCCATCTAATGACAGCATTATGAAAAAATAAGAAGCATAAAACAACTGATGTATACAACATAGTGTCTAGCTTAATCTATTAGTCAAAAGAAATAAGAGACTGTGTTTATAATACAAATCGTCAACCTTACAGCAAAGTTGTCTATGTAGAAATTTTGGATAAATTATTTTCCACTGACCTTTTTAAAATTATAAAAGTAAAGTTGTTTCCATGGGAAAATAAATGTTGTATTTAAGAAATAATAAAAATGAAGAACGTCTATAATACTAAAAAGTAACAGGACAAACATTCAGGAGTGCTTATTACCATTTATTATGTTATTTACTACAACAAACTTTTACAATGGATAATACTATTATTGTTATTACTCTGTATTTTACAGATAAGGGAAGCAAATGTCATTTTCTTACACACAGGTCAGAGTGGATTTCTCTGCACGTATCTCACACTGAAGTTCATAATACTGCAGAAGAAAGATCCTATCTTTTGCAAACAAGGGCTCCTCTGATCTAAGTTTCTATCCCTGTGTTCTGCCACTCTAAGTTATGGAATATACTTGTGCAGCCTCTCTCCATCCCTTTACTTTCAGATTTTACTACCCGTCAAGGCCCAGCTCAAATGCCACTCTGCCCCAAAACCCTCATTTGGTATCCCAATTCCTATCATGTTTGCTTGTGATTTTTTCTTATGTTACGCGTATTCTTATCTTACTCCCCTTGGTTTTCGTAGTAGGGACCATGTCACATTTATCTATGTGTTCTTTATAAAACCCAGTGAGCTATTATTTATTCACTTGGCAAATACTTAACAGCTTACAAAGTTTCAGACCCAGGGAAAAGAAGACAGGCCTTGCCCTCAGGAAGGTCACAGTCTAGCTAGGATGACAGATTTGTGAACAACCAAACATACATGCCATGAATCTAAAGCAATTCTTGATTTTCTTTTGTCTCGCAATTATTCCTATTAAACCCAATCAAATTCACACATCTTTTAATAATGAATTTAAAAAAATGTTTCTAAAATTACAATATACTTTAAGGAGTAGCATTTTGATTATACCATTCAATCAACATTAGAACAGTTATGATTATAAAGGTACACAGTTTCAGCTCAGTATTTTACCTGTGACATAAGCAATCTGATCTTTGGCTTGGTCCCTCTCTTTCTTCATTTTTTCCAAGTCTACTTCAAGAGCTTGTTTGTCTTGTTTCAGTCTTTTGATGTCTTCCAATAAACTGTCTTTTTCTTTCTTAATATTCAAAGAAATATAAAAGCAAGTTTTTTACAACCACAATAAATTGTGGTATAGTCTTTCACACAATCCATCATGAACATTGTTGCAAAATATTTTCTCTAAATTTTAGCTCTGATGTTGTTACCACCTGCCTTACCCCAGAATTTTTAATGGTGTGCAATAGCCTATTAAAATCAGTTCTAATCATCTCAACACAGCATTAAAGACCTTTCAATCTACCGTTCTAACTTCTTCCATATACTAACCATATTGATGACCCACTAATTCTCTTGCTTGGATTACTGTAATAAGCTCTTAATTAGTACACCTCTTCTACCTCTGGCCCTACAGTCTATTCTCACAGCAACCACATGAATTGTTGAACAGTCAGTTAATGTCATTCTCCATCAAAAACTCTCTGCTGGCCAGACGCGGTGGTTCAACACCTGTAATCCCAGCACTTTGGGAGGCCAAGGTGGGCGGATCACTTGAGGTCAGGAGTTCGAGACCAGTCTGGCCAACATGGTGAGACCACGTCTTTATTATAAATACAAAATTAACCAGGCATGGTGGTGCCCGCCACTTATGACAAATGGGATCTAATTAACCTAAAGAGCTTCCGCTTAGCAAAAGAAACTACCATCAGAGTGAACAGGCAACCTACAGAATGGGAGAAAATTTTTGCAACGTATCCATCTGACAAAGGACTAATATCCAGAATCTACAAGGAACTTAAACTAATTTACAAGAAAAAAAAATCCAGAAAACATCAAAAAGTGGGTGAAGGATATAGACAGACTCTTCTCAAAAGACATTAACGCGGCCAACAAACATATGAGAAAAAGCTCATCATCACTGGTCATTAGAGAAATGCAAATCAAAACCACAATGAGATACCATCTCAAGCCATTAGAATGATGATCATTACAAAGTCAGGAAAACAACAGATGCTGGCAAGGATGTGGAGAAACAGGAATGCTTTTACACTGTTGGTGGGAGTGTAAATTAGTTTGACCATTGTAGAAGACAGTGTGGCAATTCCTCAAGGATCTAGAACTAGAAATACTGTTTGACTCAGCAATCCCATTACTAGGTATATATCCAAAGGATTATAAATCATTCTACTATAAAGACACATGCACACATATGTTTACTGCAGCACTATTTACAATAGTAAAGACTTGGAACCAACCCAAATGCCCAATAATGATAGACTGGATAAAGAAAATGTGGCACATATATACCATGGAATACTATGCAGCCATAAAAAAGAATGAGTTCATGTCCTTTGCAGGGACATGGATGAAGCTGGAAACCATAATTCTCAGCAAACTAACACAGGAACAGAAAACCAAACACTGCATGTTCTCACTCATAAGTGGGAGTTGAACAATGACAACACCTAGACAGGACACAGGAAGGGGAACATCATACAAGGGTGCCTGTTGGGGGATGGGGGGCAAGGGGAGGAGAGAATTAGGACAAATACTTAATGCAGGTAGGGCTTAAAACCTAGATAGGCTGATAGGTGCAGCGAACCACCATGGCACATGTATTCCTATGTAATAAACCTGCACATTCAGCACATGTATCCCAGAACTTAAAGTAAAATAAAAACAAACAAAACCAGAAAACTCTCTGCTGGTCCCTTGCAGGGTTAACCCAAAGTCCTTACCATGACCTTTAGTGTCATATAACCCAGCTTTACCCATGACTGATCACCTCTTCTATACATCCCCGCCCATTCCATTCTAGCCAGAGACCTCCTTGCTGTTTTTTGAACACTCCGACCTCAAAGGGTCTGCAGTGTCTCTTCTGCTTGTAGTGGTTTGGGACCCAGATAGCCAGGTAGTTTCCTCCTTCACTCCATCAGGATTTCTGCTCACATGAAGCCTCAGAAGGCCTTCCTGACCACCCTATCTAAAATAGCAAGCCCCATCCTGGCCCCCAGGCACACAGTTTCATTTTTTTCTCACAGCACTCATCACCACCTGACATATAAAACGTAGGATTTTATTTTGCCAAACTTTGTATCATAAATGCATAAAAAATGCTTGGGACATCAAAAACTAAAAATGAAATTCTCAATATGGACTACATTCCATATCACTCTCAGTAGTTCAAAGTGTTGTGCCCCATTCCTCTGCTTGACAAAAATCACACTTATCTTTCAAACCTCACTTCAAATTAAGCTAAGCTATTCCTGATAGTACCCTCTTCTGCCTCCCACAACTTCAGTTGTACCTCTAGCATGGCATTTATTACTGTTTCCTATGACACTGATTCATTTATATGTAACCTCTTCTCTTTATTAGGCTGAAGGCTCTATGGGGACCAAGTTGATTTAGTACTACTTGTTTACTTTATGGTACTAAGTGCATGGCATGTATTAGATAAATGTAGACTAAACTGAACTTATGAAACTACTGGACTCAACAGCAGTCAACTCGGTATTTAAGTTTCAAAATGACAAGTTCTTACAAACTCTGGTTTACACTATCTTACAATTTAAAAATCAGTCTTAGAAAGAAAATAAGAACATTTGTAAAGCATTGTATAATCTTAGTTCCTAGTTGCATCGCAGATTTAACTGCATCGTTTCATTGTTTAATCTTCTGTAGATGTCCTTTCAGGAGAGCCCTGAAACTAAAATTAATCTAAAAGCTGCTGAATGCTTTTTCTGCAAAAACCTGTTGCTTAATTAGTTCAATCAATTTAGAAATGTTCTCTATCAATGTCTACTTTATGGAATTACAGTATTTTACAATTCAAAGAACTATAAACATCTGAAGTTTAATCATGCTCAATCAATGGATGTCCACTCCAGGCTTGCATATTTCAGGGAGAGAAAATGCCCACCTTTAAGAAAGTGAGTATGCCCCATGTTAAATCTGTGGGCCAGAGGCTTTTGGCTGACAAGTACTTTTCCTCTCTCATAATTTACCGTGCAGACACTGAGAGAGGCCTCTGCCACTCCTGTCTTTATCCACTTATGCTTCAAAGGCCTCTAGCTTCTGGAAAGGAACAAACTCAGGGCTTTTGCATTTGCTCTTCCCTCTGGCTTGAAGTCTGAATCTGCCTGGTTGGCAGTTCCTCCTCTTCGGCTCTCAACTCAAACATCTCTTTCTCAGAGAGAGTTTTCCTGTCCACACTATTAAATGCCGCCTTACCTCTAACTCATCACCCATTATTCTCTATTTTCATTTTCTTCAAAGCACTTCTATCTGTAATTATTTATTTGTGTATCTGCTGTCTGTCTTCTTCACTAGAACATATGTTCCTGATGAGCAAGATCTGTGTCTGTCTTATTTACCTACTATATTCTCAATGCTTGGATGAATGCCTGGTGCATGGCAGGCGTTCAATAAAGGCTGTCTGAATAAATGAGTTGTAGTCAGCCCCATTCTCTTCCCAATCCTGGAATACTAAAAGGAAAGGGCTCAGGAACTTACCTTTTATTACATTTCCACCTATACTTTATAACCAACTGACATTTTAAGAATATACTAATTGGCACTAATTTTTAAGGTGTAAAGTAGACTATACACAAATATACTTGACAAGATTATTTTGTAGATTTATCCCAGTATAAATAATTTTTACTCTAAAACTATTTAAGAATACTAATGTAAATCAAAATAAAGGTATGTTTACATTCTATCTTATAGTATGTGCACAAAAAAATTCCCAAATAGTTTTTACTATTATTTTAAACTAAATTAACACCTTTTTTTTTTTCCTGATTTCTTTTAGGCTTCCCCTGACTTTGGTAGCTTTACCATGATGGGACTAAATGTGGATTTTTACTCATTTATGTCGAGTGGGACTTATTATGCTTCCTAAATTCGAGACTTCACCTTTTACCACTTCTAGAGAATCCTCAGCCATTACCTATTAAAACATTTAAATGTGCATTAGGGCATCTCATATTTCTTAATATTTCTGATATTTTACATTTCTCTATTTTTCTGTTTCACTCTGAGTTCCCTTAAATTGGTCTTTCAGTTTAATGCTTTTCTTAGTTGTTTATGATCATCTATTTAATTCTACTTTCTTAATTTCTGGCATATTTCATTCCCACAGCTCTGTTTAATGTTCGTTTGAATTTGCTTGGCCTGTTTTGTTCTTTTGTCATACTTTCTCAATTTTTTTGTATATTTAAGCACTTTAAGTCTATTTATTTTATTGCCTCTATTCAATCATTCTATTGGGGTTCTGATCTTGCTGTAAAGCATCTCATGCCTGCAGATGGTGGGCTGTTTCTCTAGGTTTTGTAATTTTGCATTGTGAGCACAACATCAGTTGGATTTTATCTGTGGGAATATTGTGTGGACTGGGTTAAAGAGTGTATACCTCTAAGAATTGTTTTGCATTTGTTTCTTCTAAATCTACTAGAGGTTATCACTGACTTAGAACTACTGTTTATGTTTTTTTTTAGTTTAAGCATTGCAAGGTAGTGTCAATTCAAATACTAAACACAAATGGGCAGAAGAGATACCATTTATATTGAACAACCATTAAAGTATGTGCAGAGGAGACTTTTTACCTCTCCCTACCCAGAGACCAAATTAAGACAGAAAAGCTTCCTTGACATCTCAGTTTCTTTTTTCCTAATCCACTATTTTAGTGAAAGATGTGGTCCTTTAAGGGTATTCCATCTACAATTTGCTGTTAAAGCTCAGGCTTCTTGGTTACTAAACTTACTGCCATCTTTTTATCCCTCCTTACTTTTGGCTTCTAACGATTTCCCTTACTTTCTTGAGAGCATGGTTAATCATTTACAAGATATTTATTATATTTTTTTTCCAGTATATTTTGGTGTTGTTAGTGGGCGTTTTCAAATTTTCTGTCATTAAAATATGTTCAAAACAGAACTTTTAAAAGGTAAAAACAACAGCCTTTGGAACTAATGCTAACGCTATGCTTGAAACCTTACTTTGTTCCCCTAAGCCTTCATAAAATATGGTAACATTAATTGCTGTTTTAGCTTGCTATTTTTGAGGCCCACTGAAATGGGCTTTTTAGTTTAGTGCTATGATTCTCAAAGGGAGCGGTGCGAAGAAGTAACTGTCCTCCACAGGCCATGTTTGGAAATGTGGCAGAGTGGTTTTAATTGTTACAATGACTGGTGGGTGCTATAAGCACATAGTTCTTAGGGACAGGGATGATAAAAATCATGCAGTGCATGAATTACTTCTGCTTAAAATAGAGTTCTGCCCTGCCTTAAATTCCCAAACTCTTCCTATTGATAAATACTGCTTTAGAAAACTCTAGGCCATATTTTTAATAGTACAATTTAATAAACATAAAAAAGTTATGGAACAGCATTGCATTTCAACTTTATGTTAGGTATGCGGGATATAAATACTTGTAAGATACAGTCTCTGCTCTCTAGAAGTGCACAGTCTACTTCGGAAGACAGGCAGCAAGCTACTAACTTTTAAAGGTAAATAATTATCTCCAAATTACACTATTTAGGCTGCACACTTTCAAATAAGGAATTGGTTTGAAATAAGGTATACATGTCCTAAATAAAATCATGCCTCTGATAATGGCTCCATGATAAACAGGCCTGATGAGATGTGACAAATGCCTGATAAGAGGCTGAATCATAAAGACAATGACATCTAAAACCAGTATTATGTTTCCTCTGTACTAAGGTCACGCATATACTATACGCTAATTTAAGATATTTCTCCCTAAGTTTTAAATGGTATGAAATTTACAGATTTTTTCATACATATGGGGATTTTTATAGAAACCTTTATTATCCCTAATAGTCAAAATCCTTATGCAACTTACCTGTGCCATCCGTAGTTCTGCTAACAGATCTGTAAAATTCTGGTTTCTTGTGGGCTCTGAATCTTCAACTACTTGAGACAGAAAACGACTGTTGTGCATCTGTTCTCTGATTTATTTTGAAAATAAAAAGTTGTTTTTCTTTCTTACCAGGTGCTCCTTTCAGTAGAAAATATTCAATTCTTAAAAATTAAAAACTAACATACATTGAAGCTATATGCATAAATGAAGGTAAAATTTTCATTTAATCTAAAGATTAAAATACTACCACACTAAAAGAGAAATATACTTTAAGGGAAATGCTTATATTTATTCTAAAAGAACTGAAACCTAAGATTATTGGTTTATTTATAATATAAAAATATTAATTCCCAATTCTCACAGGAAAAAAATTAATGGTCCACAAAGATGTGCTGCATTTTTCTGTGGGGTTGTTAATGCACTCACTCCTTGGCATATTGTTCTAGAATCTTTTCTGAGAGTTGCCAGTCTCATACATGGAAACTAACAAACAAAACAAAACACATCCTAATATGTGGACCTTAAATTCAATTTTCCTGTTATTCCAGAGATATTATAGAAGGAGTTTCGGATTCCACATAAGATCATCTAACCCTAATGTACTAAAGAAACCATTTATTTCGCTCTGAAAGTTAATTTAGAGCTTCAGTTTTGGATCCTGGGATAGATCTTCTTTTAGAAGCCAAGTAGTACAAGATAAGATATTTTAAAATAACTTTACTGAAACATCTGGGAAAAAAAGCTTAAGTAAATGCATTCATGCATTACCACTGTGCAGATTATCACACATGGCCTGGGGTTACACTTACCAACTTACCAGGAGAAAGTGGCAATAAATATATATATTTTGTCTGCTACCAAGTGTGCCTTTTTCTATTTTGCGTGAAAGATCAGTATGAGCTATTATTAGCAGCCCTGCCTCTTAGGCCCTAGTTTATATAACCAAAAAAGGGTGAGAAGTATATAAATAAATTTGGTAAACATTCATGATATTCATGGGTCAAAGAAACTTCTGATAACAGTCCTTTCTGAGTGATTAGGTGTTTATATAAAAGGATACACAAATAGTGGTCATTTTCTAAAAGAAGAGAGTATCCTAGCTTGTCCATGTTCATGGGCTTGGCTTTTTCACTTAATATGTTAAAATTGGAAGCAGTAACGTCCAAAAGACCTTACAGTCTGAAATATGATTCCTAAGTAGGTGCTGGTGCCCCATTACCCTGCCATGATAAATGCTGGCTGAAAACAACTTGCAGGTGCTCCTTTAAACAGCAGCCCCTACCCCCTGACATAAAGGGCAGCCCCCACTCCTTTCCACGGTACACTCCAGCCAGTGACTAAGGCTGCCCCCTTGCCTCAAGCAGGGACCAACTCTGGTACAATCTGTTTTCCACAGCTTCTTGGTGGGAGGAGAATGAAGCCAGTCTCCAGCTGAGACCACTATTTGCCCTCCCCCTACCTCACCGTTCCTGCTTCCTTTGCTCCTTTCTCCTGAGAGTTATCCTTCAGTATATCATCTCCACAAGGACCTGCACCATCTCAGGCTCTGCTTCTATGGAACCTGACCCAAGAAGATCATAAGTGATACTGGATGACCTTTCTTTTTTAGTATTATTAATCACATGTTCCTCGGGAAACGGTTATCTCATTCTTAATGACTGATCAAGAGGAATACTGTATATTCAATTTCCTGAAACTGATGTTTGAATCATTTATGAACATAAATTCATATGAATTCAAATATGAATATGCTGAAAATACTATCAAGTATGTGCTAGCCATCTAACACCAAAAGAAAAATCCACTGAGTATTAAACATATAAACTGGAAACGAGAATACAAATAAAAATAAAAATTTACCATCTAAGTAAAAACAAATGTATTATTAACATAATAAGAAAATGCTTAGAAATAGTTTAAGTATATTTGATTTTAAGAAGTTCAAAAGGACTTACTTTAAGGAAGCTACCTCACTGAATAAACTCTGGTTTTCCTTAAACATTCGCTCCTCATTTTTCTTGTTTTGTTCTTGGAGATCTTTTACTTGATTATATAATCGTTCATTTTCCTTTTTAAAAACAGAATATTGCATTTTAGTTAAAAGTCATTAGTACTTATATAACATAATATACGTGCTCATAATAGATTAATCCTTTAAACGGTCTTTTAAGTTGCTTTAGTTTTTGCATAGTAAAATCTTTTTTAAACTTTTTATATTATAACAGAAGAAATTTGGTGTCTAAAAACAGTTCTTTCCATAATGTTTAAAACGCTTCATTGAAAAACTAATTTGCCAAAATTCCCACAGCTAAAGGGCCTAAGGTCAGTTGAATGCACTGCATTTCACAGGAGTTAAGTGGGAGAGTGGCTGAAGGAATCACCACATCCTGACTATGTGGACCCAGGTGGAAAGACCCAGTGAGACCCTTTATGTTCTTTTCTGTTTCTGACCCGAGAGAGAGAGAAAAAAAAATCGAATCACTGCTGGACGAAGATTCTGGAAGTCTGGCTGCCAGTGGTGAGATAATCAGATGTATCTATGGGTGTTCATGCTTGTATCTGATATTGACCATAAACAGGGAGTTAAAGACCAGTGTTTCAGAAAGTTGTCAGGACAAGGCAGAGCAGAGGACAGATCCAGTACACCAAAAGGCTTGAGCTAAAGAGCTGAAGAGTGACTCAACCAGTTGAGATCAGAGGGAGAAGAAAATGTACCAATCTGCACTTTGATGCCCTCCCTGGCTTATTAACCTGTTTAAAATTAAAAATCAGATGCAAACCAAGGGCTTTTGAGTATCTAATGCAAACTGTAGACTGTTATACCATGTCTGGAATAGTGCTGGGCAGACAGGCTGTGCTTAAACACATGCAGAATTAATGAACATCCGCCTCTACTATTTAGACACATAAATTTTGTGTTGTCTCTGTTGGATGGGTTAGTTGGCATACTTATGGGTCTGTTAAATTTTCTTAAAAACCCCTGTTTTTTAATGGCAAGATCAAACTGGCAGAAGAATTTGAATGGTTCCCAGTAACCAAGGGCAGTGTGTCCTGCCAATTCATTCCAATTCGGCTACAGCAAACATTGTAATCACTGATGTGGCAATGCTTTCGATGATGTCCCTGGGTGATAATGCATGTTACTAAGGCTCAAGGTTCAAGTTACAGTTGTCAAAAGAGAAGAATGTAATGAGCGACAAGAAAGGGGAGCAGTACGAAAAAAGGGAGTGAGAGGCAGGGAACAAAGATGCTGAAGAAAGATGCTAAACCTGTCCTGGTTGACTGTTAGGCTAGCAACACCAAGATGTCATCACACATTGCAAACATCTGCCTCTGTAGGACCCACAGATCTTCTTACATTAAATTCAAAATTTTTTCACCCTCAGGACATTATCAATTAATTCCAGATTCATATTTCTGAAAATAATAGCAAAATCAGCCAATATTGTCTACTGAAGAGCATTACAGGAAACTAAGAAAACATAGGGCAGTTTTTAAGAAACTGGCTATTAAAAATAAAAACAGGTAACTTTCATTGATTGATTGCTGTGTGCCACACTAAGAGTGTACAGATGCTCCTCAACTTGCTTGTCCCACAAATGGCTATATCCCAATAAGCCCAAAAGTAAGTAAAAAATGTCCTAAGTTGAAAATGTACTTAATACCCTGATAAACCCACTGTAAAGTCAAAAAATAGTAAAACTTATGATGAGGTTACATCCTGATAAGCTCATCATAAAAGTTAAAACTTTGTTAAGTCAAACCACTGGAAGTTGGGGATCCTATATATTATCATCTCCACTTCACAGATGAAGAAACTAAATTAGAAAGATTAAGTGATGCCCAAGGCACACAGCAGGTGGTAGAGCTAAGACTCAAAACCAGTATTTTCCAATCCAGAACCCACGCTCTTAACATTTAATTCTCCTCATGGGAAATACATAGACTAGTCAAATTATTACCTCCTATTTGCCAGAATTCCCATTATCTGTTAAATAAGCACAGAAATATTTCAATATGCTTTTTTTTTTTTTTTTTTTTGAGATGGAGTCTCACTCTGTTGCCTAGGCCGGAGTACAGTGACGTGATCTCGGCTCACTGCAACCTCTGCCTCCTAGGTTCAAGTGATTCTCCTGCCTTAACCTCCCAAGTAGCTGGGATGACAGGTGTGCACCACCATGCCCAACTGATTTTTTTTTAATTTTTAGTTGAGATGGGGTTTCACCATGTTGGCCAGGCTGGTAAACTCTTGACCTCAGGTGATCTGCCCGCCTAATCCTCCCAAAGTGCTGGGATTACAGGCATAAGCCACTGTGCATGACCTGCCTTATTTTAATAAGTAAAAGATGAAGAAGAGTAAATTTGCCATACGCTAAAGGATGGCCATACCTGTTGATATCCTTGAAGAAGTGTCTCTTGTTCTTGTATTTCCTTTTGGATTTGCTTCAATTTTTCTCCAGTGACAGGATCAGCTGCTTCTCCAAAATGTAACCACCTTGTTTTTTTGTTTGTTTCTTCAAAGCTGCTTAACTTGGAGAAATTGCAGCAATTGTTTTATTTGGGGAAGGAAATGATATGGTGAGAAGTGAGAAAGAATAATAGAAAACTCTTATTTAGATTGAAAATTGTTTTATAATATTGAACACACTGGACTGTGACATAACTACAGTTAAATCAGCAAAGTGCTGTTTTGTGCTGATGGTGCCGTTAATAACTCACAAATGCTACACAATGTCATCCTCTGGGTCTATACCTTCTTTGGCAGTTTTGCTCAAACTTTGATTTCTTTAAAGGTCAGAATGAACTGATTCTTTTTAAAAAGGATAGCTAATAGAAGAAAACCATCAAAATGAGCCAATTTAAATTTAGTTTTCTCCCCCAAGGGTTCAAAATTTAGGCTCTCATGTACGGAATCACTCTTCGAACCATGTCTATATTTTATACAGCAAATACATCAAGTCAAACATCTCTAGGAAACAAGGATGACAATGTATTTAGCAGGGAATACAGGTTTAAAAAAAAAAAAAAATTAAAAAAACCAGAACAATGTGTCTAGTACCTTGGCTTGAAGAATATAATTATCTTGATTCAATTTGAAGAGTTCTTTTTCCTGTTGTTTCTTTAGTTCTTCCAACTTACTTTCTAGTTCTTTCTCTTTTTCTGAGAATGTGGCTTTAATTTGCTCAATTAGGGCTTGTGCACCCCTCCATTTTTCCTCTGCTTCCTGAACTCTTTTAAACATAAGTAATTCCTCCTCCTTGTTCTCACCACAGTATCCTAAGGAATCCTTTCAAGAAAAGCATTACTTCATTACAGTACACTTATATATAGGATTTGAACACAGGCCGTTAATTAAAAAAAGAATAAAAAGGACATGGTTAACAATGTTCTATTATATAAGAAAATAAACTGTTTAGTAAGAGTGATTACAGTATCACTCGAAGGAAAAGACATTTCAGTCCTTATTATATTTTGTTAAATATAATTTAGCTTTAATGTAATTTTAGAACATAAAAACATTATGATTATTAATTTTGAATTTAATACCTACAGTCTGAAACTGAATACAGGAATCAGTTTCTGTGGGATCTTCAGACTTCTTAGGAGTAACCAGGCAACTTTCAGTTTTGGGAGCTGGTTTATCCAAAGCTGCAGGCTTGATGAGTTTTGTTCCAGATAAGATTTCTAAATATTATAAGCAATGTATAAATGCACCACAAATGTAAAGTTAAATGTGTACTCATCAATTGTGTACAATAACTAAAAATAAAATGGAAACACTAAAATGAGGATCTCAAAATAGGCTGATGGACTACACTCTAACACAGCTGTTTCACTATAACTGATTGTATTCAGAAAAATTGCCACTCCGTAATCAACGTTCTACTAAATTTGACACAGATGGCCAATTAACCAAAGACTATGTTAACTGACAAATGGAGCTAAATAAATGTGAGAATGTAGATAGAAATAACTTTCAGAGTTTATTACTTTTAAATAAATTCTTCTGTTAAATGTTCATAGCAATAATCAATCAAAATTTCTAAATGACCAAGGAGCAGCTGATAACTTTATGAAACATTTTGGTGCAGATTAAGTGTGCTTTCGGAGCACATTTTTTATAAACAACATATATCATGATATCGTATCAATGGAATAATATAAATTGCAAGGAGGATTTTATAACTGTTAATTTAAATAGGATTTTAAAAGATTAACACTATTATAAAAACCTGGCTCACTCGCTCTCTCTCTATATATATAAAATTAGAAAAAAATGTGATTAATATATATTCTGTTCCAATTTTCAGCTTTTAAGGTGACCTGTAAATTCTTAAACAAGAAATCATTCTAAGGCTAATATATTATTCAGTTAATAATAAACAATGTTTAAGAACAATACCTAGAAGGGATCCTAAGATCCATATTCAACTAATACAGGCCCTGAGTTTAATAAACACTATCTGATTGCTTTAGAGATAAATTAAGAACTTCAAAATTTAAATTTTTAAAATAATTTATTCAAGATGTTAACTTTTTAAATGTAGAGTTTACTTTTTAATTACAAATGTTCTACATGATTATTAAATATTTGGAAAATATAGAATAGTCAAAAGAAAAAATAAATTACCAACAGTCCCTCACCAAAAGATTTCATTTCAATTATTTTTCCAGGTATGTGAAGGTTTTCCTTATAGAGTTATGATCACATTTAATTAGACTGATGTAAGTTTTCTGAAGAAATTTCTAAAAGGGTTCATGAAGAGACTGTTTTGAGTCATTGTAAGAGGAGGCTTTTAAAACTTCCAAATCACTGGAGGCTCATTAAATGAATGGGGTGTGATCTGCTAGCACGATTCTCCTCAGGACAAGGCAGCTAGTACACAGGTGGAACGTTCCAGACCAGAAAATCCAAAATCCAAACTGCTCTAAAATCTGAAATTTTTTGAGTGTCAACATGATGCTCATAGAAAAATGCTTACAGGAACGTTTAAGATTTTGGATTTTTAGATTGGAGATGCTTAACTAGTAAATATAATGCAAATATTCCAAAATCAAATGAAATCTGAAATTTGAAACACTTCTGGTCCCAGGCATTTTGGATACGTAATACTCAACCTATCACATGTTCTTGTTCATAGCTGTAGTCTGCCAGTCCTTTTATGCCAGAATTCTCCCTTCTTGAATTCTTAATTTTGACTTCTCTTTCAGTGGACTAAAGTATCAAATAATTATTTTAAATAATTGCACGTGAGCAGTACTTGCTCCTTTTACACATGAAAAAAATTTGCTTGAATATGAAATTTAAACATGAAAACACTGAGGAATTTGGAACCCATGAAACCTTCTTGGAATAGCAATGCATAAGAAAATTCAGTCAAAAAAGAAACCAATCAAAATAATTCCAGAATAGAGAAACTATGGCTAAGAGACAAGAGAAAAGCATTCAGTCTCTTTAATAATCAGAACCAAGAATTAAATTCAAAAGCTGAGGGAAATTAAGGTTGTAGTAGAGAATATACTAAATATATCTTAAGTAAAAATAAAAATGAATAGGAGGAATGTAAGTTGGGGATACAATATGCTTTATATTTCACAGAAGGGAAGGAATCGATTGGTAATGTCTAAAATTGAAAAAGTTAAGAAACAACACTACAGTTATGGCAACCTTTGAGTGTTTTTCATAATCTCTTTCCTTAAAGATTTTTCATAATCTTTTCCTTGTATTTTCGATATACAATTTCTTGGGATGAAATTTATTTTTCTTCTTATACATATAAGTAAACCTAGATCTAATATCCTATTTTAAAAGAACATGTAAAGTGTAATCCCATTCTTACAAAATATTTTGTCCATTTATCCACATCTGCCTCTCTCTTTCCATCCATTCATTCACATTTCCTTCTATTATGTAAGTATATACATAGTGAGATGCATGGAATCTGCTAACCCACCATAACAACAGTTGTTTCTGGCTATATCATTGCTTTCTTCTTTTACTTTTCTGTAATTTTGAATTTTAAACAATAAGCATATACTAAGAATTTTTAATTCTTAATAAGAAAAGACAATAAGAATTTTTGTCCTTTCACGAAAAAAAAAATCTAAAAATAAAAACACAAGTTACAGCCAAAGAAAATTAATCAAAACTAAACACGGAAAACAACTACATGGCTGGTACTGCTAATTGCCAACCTTCTCTTCCTTCCTATTAATAAAGATCTAATTCTGTCCTGAGCAGCAATGTACATAAACATACTCGACCCCCTGAACTCCATGCAACTGAGGGCCAGAAGATCAAAGGTCATTAAGATGGATGCAAAAACTTTCCTGATTAGGAAGTTGATGATTTGACTGGTATCTACCTTTTACCTTTCACCCTGTCTCATGGACAGGGTCCAGAGGTGGAGTGGCCATTGTGACAGTTAAGACAAAAGTCACATACTAGGGATTTTGCATCAGGAAAGAAAAAGGGATCCGGTTCCCTGCACAGCTTACCAGCCATGAACTGCCTATCTCTGGACTCTTTGTTACATAAAAAAGATACCTTTAATTTGGTTAAGTTCTAGTAGCTGGGCTTTTTCTTCATCCTAACCAATGTTGACTTTAATTTTAACTGCATTCTGTATATTTTCTGAACACTAATCTCATCTCAAACTCTGCTTCCTGGAGAACTCAACCTTTAACAAGTAACCACTATCCCAAAGGAATTACAGTTCCTCTGAATATAACTAAAACTGCTCTGGGCAATTCTTCAATAAAAAACAGAGATTAAAAACAACATACTTAATAGACAGTCTAGTGAGAAAAAGTAGTTCAGTATAAAAATATTTATGGTCCATCATTATACTTTACTATAAATTTACTATAAATTTTAATAATGTGTTTTATTTTTATTTTGGATGTTACAAATGCTATGAAATTTTAAAATATGAAAAATGAGTTTAAGAATATTATTTCACTTTACTCATAAAAATATTAGTCTTCATCTAGCAACCTCCTCATGATTCCTCTCATTTCTTTTTCACTCACTGTGACATTACCTCTGTCTTCATTCTTGGTAATTTCAACATATTCATAGGTGATCCTTTCAACTCCCTGGCTTTTGGTTCCTTGAACTTCTTTCCATCTCAGCTACTCATTCCCATTGGCATAGTTTAGGTCTTTCCTAGACTATTATCAATAATGTAACCACTCCCCAATCTCAGTCCCTCATCTAAGCACCTACTATGACTATCATCTCTGTCTTCCCTCCTCACACTCTCTGGTACCCAGATTCCAACAATCCTTTGACCCCACTAGGACTCACAGTTGATGGATCGTACCTGTTGCACATTGTGTCACACTCCCTTGATGCCCTTTCTTCCTTCATTGCTCAACTTAAATTCCATGGTCAACCATTCTAATCACTTTTACATACATCATCAGCTTCACTTGCCAAAAATGTATTTTTTGGTAAACCCAACTGTTTTACCAAGTACAGTTCATTTAACAGTTGGTTAAACAAGTTGGTTATTTAACGTGTTAAATAACAACTTAATTGTTATTTCAATTTAAATTCATGATCACTAACTTTAATTAGACTGTCTTGATTCCTGACAGTCTAACTCTCCTAGATGGCTACTTCATATCTTCTCTTTTCTCTTGTAACCTCTCAAACACCTTTGCCTAACTCTCATGCTCATCTAATGATACTTTCTATTTCTCAGAGAAAACTGGAGCTATCACAAAAAGCATTCTCTCCTCAGCACATCTAACCACCTGCCAGCATACACCCTCCCTTCCTATCTGCCTCCACAGTTCCTAGAATGCAGGAAATAGCCATGTTACTGTCTAATGCCAACCCTTCTTCCACTGTGCACCAGATCCCATTACAGCTACTCTACTCAAAAACATTGCTCCAGCAATTCTTCCCTCATTCTTGTACTTTGTCAATTATTTTTCTATCAAATCTTTCTTAACATCATACAAAAAAACCAATCATTTATTTCATAAAAACAAAGCAAAGCAAAAATGTTCTTGGTCTCATCTTCCATCTCGGCTACTGGCCCATTATTTTGCTGCCTTTTACAGCAAATATCTGCAAGGTGGTCTATAACTTGAAGCACCATTCCACTCCTATTTCCACTTACTCCATTTAATTTGCCTTTTACAGCCACCTCTCCACGGAAACTGCTTGTACACTTTATTGATCACCTCCTCCTTGCTAAACCCAAAGAGCAGTTCTCAGTTCTCACCTGTCTTAATCGCTCAGCAGTAAATGACAGAGCAGTCCTTCTCAACACACTTTCTTCACTTGCTTGTTTTCAGGATTCCACATGCTCTCAGGATTCTTCTAACTTCACTCTGTTTCCTTTGCAGGTTCCTCCTCTTCTGCCTGATTTCTTCAGGTTAGCAAGACCAGGGGCCTCAGGCCTTGGCTTGCTCCTTTCCCTCTATCTATGCTCACTCTTTTGGTATTGTCAATCAGATTTCAACAACTCCCAAATGGTATCTATAATCCATATTTCCCTCCTGAACTCGACTTTTATATCTGTCTGCCTTCTTGTCACTTCTGCTTGCATGTTGAATAGACATCTCAAAACTATCATCTCAAAAATTAAACTCCCAGTTTTTCCCCAACTCTCAAATCTACTCAGTCACAGCCTTCCCCATTCCAGTTGAGTGTAACTCCATTCTCCCAGTTGCTCAAGCCAAAAATCTTAGCAATCCAAAACCAATTTTTCAGATTTTTGGTTCTACCTCCTAAATATATCCTTATCTAACCACTTTTCATCACCTCTACTGCCACCACACTGAGTCAAGCCCTGCTGCCTCCTGTAAATTGCATCTTACAAATAGAACGTGGTACCTTAAGATTAATTCTCCTCCATGGAAGCAAAGAAAGTAAAACAATATACTAAATAAAGAGTACATGATTACCTTTTCTCCTAGGTTGATTAGAGGTGGAAATCGATCTCAAGTTTTTGCTTTTTATAATGTCCCCTGAAGTTTTATTTTCAAGAGTAGAAAACATCTTGAGTGGTGAACTGGGTTTGCCATAGCCTGAGCTCCTAACTGATGCATATAATCCACGATGGGGTTTCCTTTTAAGTAAAGGAGGTGCACTTCTGGCCTTCTTGTATGGTACCTGTTTACCCATTACAGCCCCTTCTTCAGAGCTAAGTTGAGATCTGTAAGTCTGTACACAACAAGCAAAAGCTCTTCAGTACCTAAATAAACTTTAACTATTGTTGTAAATGAATATTTAAAGGATAGCAAAACAACAGTGATGATCAAATAATGTAGTTTGTAAAAGGCAAACTACCATAGTTAAGTTCTTGAAGTTTAATGCATCCGAATTTTAGTATTTTGAAGCAGACCTTCAAAGTTAGCATTGAAACAAAGTAAAGCAAAATAATAAAGCAAAATTAGCTTGCCAGAAACCAAGATGTGTAATTACTTGAATGAACACAGCAGAAAGAACATATTTTGAAATGACATAAAATCTTATTTAATTTGTTATCTGAATTTCTCAAGATGCTTTAAAAATGTTATTAATACCTTGCCTTATTCCACAAAGAACTGGAGAAGACTTAAAAACATAATTCAAAACTATAAAATACAAGTAGAATGTCTGAATCATGGGAACTATAAAGCAGAAGAGATCAAGAATACAGGAAAAAGAATCAGCAAAATGCAAATTTCTTCACAGGTGTTAACTGCTTTCCTATAAAATAACAACTTAAAAAATACAAATGACTGGAAAGACTGAACAGTGCACACTACAATGATGAATAAACTTTTTCTTACACTGTTTAAATTCTGGACTATATTTTATTCAAAAAAAGGAAAAAATGTATAAAGAATGGCTTCTAAAAGCAAGCTAATGTTACGGTGGTATTTTTGAATTTGGGGATTGGCTAGCATTGTAATAAATATTACTCACAAATATCCAAGATCTACTATGGAAGTTAGTATACAATCAATCCCACTAGTTTAAAAAGCACACACCTACCAATAGTACTTACATACTTTACATAACTTCGGTTCTCAATATCTCGAATCAATTTAGACTACAAATACTTACTTTATTAATTTTGTCATCCTGAGATAATGATGAAGAATTAACAGATATTTTTTTCCTCAAAATATTAAGGTACATTTTATCAACATGTTCTTCTGTGGCAGTTACTTGTGGACGGCTGTTTTCCATACTCTCATTTGTGGTCTTTTGTAAAATCACATTCTCATCGTTTTTGTCAAAAAAATGGTTCACATGTTGTGAGTCTTGAGACATAATATTTGGGTTCATCTTCAGGGGTAAAGAGTTAACAAATTCAGTTTCTTTACTTTCGGCCACTTTCTCAGAGCTATACAACAAAACAGGACACAGATAATGAACCCTATGTAACAGCTCTTCAAATATCAGTAATAACCACGTGTGTGTGTACACGCAGACGCACTATATATATGAGTTGTTAACTATTCATATTAAGTTACTGATGTTAAATACATTATTTATAATTTTGGTTAATAGTACACTCACGTAGTGTAATAATGGCTTTTAATTTCAGATAATAATTTTAATGCAGTATAATGCAAAGGATTATAAAGGTGATGCTGACATCTATTTTAGAGAAAGACCAAACCAAACAAGACTGAGACTGCTTTTGTAGAAGAAAAGTAAAATATAAATTTCTAAGTGAACTTTCTGTAATATATCTTTTATCTACAATTTCTTATAAAGTCGACATGCATTTGAAATAAGAAAAACATTTTAAACATTTCTAGACGAAACTAAAGTAATAATCATAATTTATGTTAAGGAGGCTTAGAGTATAAATACTAAAAAAGCATATATTTAATCACAGTATAGGACAAATTTTAATGTAAAACAGAAAAATCACTAGGCTTTGAAATGAAAATCACTTCTGTGGTTTGAAACACTTAAATGTAACAATTCAATTAGATATTAAAAATCTAGAAGATACAACGTAAGGAAATGTTTTAAATGTGGTTAAATATTGGCAAACTACAGGGTCTCCAAAAATATGGCAACTATGGTTTAAAACACTTAAATGTAACAATTCAATTAGATGTTAAAAATCTAGAAGATACAACGTAAGGAAATGTTTTAAATACAGTTAAATATTGGCAAACTACAGGGACTCCAAAAATATGGGAACTGTTAAGTCTTAAAATATTTAATCATGTGTCAATTAGGCCATTTAATTTTATAATTTATAAAATAAGATTAAAGAAAGTTTAAGAGGCTACCATTTTCATATAATGTAGATTGACTTCTCGGTAACCATTAGAAGCTTCTAAAGTAGCTGGAATCATCAAAAATATAATAGTTCTTTCCTTCTTCATAGCAGCAGAACCTGGCTAGATGTTAATCAAAATTGTTTCTCATTCTTGCTGGGTACCAACTAAACTATATTTCCTTGCCAACTTCCATCTAGATGGGACCATTTACTAGTTCTTCCCTTTAGAATGTGAGTGCTATGATGCCAAGAACCCAACTTATTTGTTACTGGCTTAGTTGTCAGGTTTAGGGTGGCAGGAAACTGGTAATTAGAGTCTGGAGAGATGGCAGCCTATGTTTTACAGTGGCAAAACATTGCTAAATTGTCATCTACAAAAGTTTGTAAGGCAGACCACATGCCAGCCGACCATGGAGAACTAAGAGAAATGACGGGAAAGAACAAGGAGTTAAGTGCTGGCTACTATTAGCTTCTTTTGACAAGATATTACCAAAAAACTGATGAGCTCAACACAGAATGAGCTGGTTTATAAGCAGAATTTAGAGAGAATAGAAAGAATCTAGAAACTCTAGAAATGAGTTCTCTCTCTTTGTAGACTCAAGCTGTAAGATTCAGCCTTGAAGAATACTATGAAAAAGCAAGATTTCATGAGACTTCTTGGTTGAAGAGTGAGGAGTGACCCAGTCCCTTAGCAAAGATCATATTAAGAGTGTCATCCAGAGTGAGACTCTGTCTCAAAAAAAAAAAAAAAAAAAGAGTGTCATCTTCACATTTAAGGTATTGTTTCCCCAAATATCCAGAGAACTGCAAATAAACGCAGAGAAAAAATTTTGAGGGACAAGGAATCAAAGAATAAAGCAGATTTAAAACCTTTGTCTAGCAAAGAACTTTTTTTTTTAACTTTTATTCCAGGTTCAGAGATACGGGTATTGTCCACGGGGATTTGGTATTCAGACTATTTCACACCCAGGTAATAAGCATAGTACCCAAAAGGTAGTTTTTTTTTTTTTTTTTTTTTTTTTTTTGAGACAGAGTCTCGCTCTGTCGCCCAGGCTGGAGTGCAGTGGCCGGATCTCAGCTCACTGCAAGCTCCGCCTCCCGGGTTTACGCCATTCTCCTGCCTCAGCCTCCCGAGTAGCTGGGACTACAGGCGCCCGCCACCTCGCCCGGCTAGTTTTTTTTTTTTGTATTTTTTAGTAGAGACGGGGTTTCACCGTGTTAGCCAGGATGGTCTCGATCTCCTGACCTCGTGATCCACCCGTCTCGGCCTCCCAAAGTGCTGGGATTACAGGCTTGAGCCACCGCGCCCGGCCAATAGGTAGCTTTTTGATCTTCACCCTCCTCCTAGCCTCTCAAGTTGGCCCCAGTGTCTGTTGCTCTCATCTCTCTGTCCATATGTACTCAATGTTTAGCTCCCATTGATAAGTGAGAACATAAGTATTTTGTTTTCTGTTCCTGCATTAGTTTGCTTAGGATAACGGCCTCTAGCTCCATCCATGTTGGTGCAAAGGATGTGATCTCATTCGTTTTTACGGCTGCATGGTATTCTATGGTGTATATGTATCACACTTTCTTTATCCAGTCTATCACTGATGGGCATTTAGGTTGATTCCATGTCTTTGCTGTCGTGAACAGTGCTGCAATGAACATATGCATGCATATGTCTTTATGGTAGACAATTTACATTCCTTTTGGTACAAATCCAATGATGAGATTGCTGGTTGAACAGTAATTCTGCTTTAAGTTCTTTGAGAAGTCGCCAAACTGCTTTCCACAATGGCTGAACTAATTTACATTCCCACCAGCAGTGTATAAATGTTCCCTTTTCCCTGCAACCAGCATGGTTTTTCTTTTGTTTGTTTTTTACTTTTTAATAAGAGCTATTCTGACTGGCGTGAGATGGCATCTCATTGTGGTTTTAATTTGTATTTCTCTAATAATTAGTGATGTTGAACATTTTTTCGAATGCTTGTTGACTGCACGTCTTCTTTTGAAAAATGTCTGTTCATGTCCTTGCCCACATTTTTTTTTTTTTTTTTTTTTTTTTTTGAGATGGAGTCTTGCTCTGTCACCAGGCTGGAGTGCAGTGGCGTGGATCTCGGCTCACTGCAACCTCTGCCTCCTGGGTTCAAGCGACTCTCCTGCCTCCCTCCTGAGTAGCTGGGACTACAGGTGCGTGCCACATGCCCAGCTAATTTTTGTATTTTTAGTAGAGATCAGGTTTCACCATGTTGGCCAGGATGGTCTCGATCTCTTGACCTCATGATCCGCCTGCCTCGGCCTCCCAAAGTGCTGAGATTACAGGCGTGAGCCACCGTGCCCAGCCTACTTTTTAATGAGGTTGCTTTTTGCTTATAAATTTGCTTAAGTTCCTTATACATTCTGGGTAGCAAAGAACTCTAAATTTCATCGCTGGCACATGGAATTCACTGGGACCAAAGAGATTGCTAGGTTACTAAACTTTCTGAAAGAATATAATGTCAAAGAAACCATAACCCTGTTCAAAAGAAAAAAAAAAACAAGAAACCCAAAAGCCAGTGACTGGGAAACTTAAAGCTACCTGTAGGCAGGAAGTGGATTGAAAAGGGAGTGTATCCCCCAACACGGGCATACCTCTCAACCTAAAATCCACTTCAGTTGTAGCCAATGGTGATAAAATACAAGACAAATCCTCCAAGGAATGGAATGGGGGCTATATAGAATAATAGATTTAAGGTAGCCCCTTCTTAATAGAATAATAACCTAATCAAGGAAAATCCCTATTTCCAAGGTAGGAGGCCTTTACAAGTTCTTTCCAGTGGTTCTCAAAGTTGCAACATTGATTACTGTATTTTCCTCATACTTTTCCTTGCTGAAAGGGCATATCTACTGCAGTTCCACCATTATATATTGGGATGGGGGCGAGGAAGTATATAACCCTGTCTTTTTAATTCATCCATTGGTAGACAATGAGGAGTTGTACTCAAACCTGACGGAGAGGACTGTGCTTCACCTGGAAATCCTGGTCTTTCAGATGCATACAGTCCTGAATGGGGCTTGGGGATGCCTGCTTGGGGAAGGGGATAAGTGAGTCTGGATATGAAGAAGAGTGAAATTGATATTTTGTTATTAGAAAGATATATCCTGGCAGAGAATGACTAGATACTGACCAAATTCATTTTTCTTTCTTGGCACAGAAACAAACCACATTTCACAGCCTCCTTGGACCTAGTTAGCTAGATGTGCTGGTTCCTACCAATGGAATGTGAGCTGAAGTGATATGAAACATATGAAACTTCTGTGTTAAGACAGTTAAAAGAGAGGATGTAAAACCATTCTCTTTCTTTCCTTACTGACTGGTTGGATGATGTCATAACAAATCTTAAAACTATGTGCTGATGACAGAAGTAGCCTGGGTTCCTAAATGACTGTGTGGAGCAGAGCCCCAATTCAACCCCACTGACCCACAAGGGACAGTGATATGAGCAAGAAATACATTTTTGATGATAACCTACTAAGATTTCAAGGATTATGTTATGGCAGCTAGGGTCATTTACTCCAGAGTTTACTAAAAAATTTTTAAGTATGTGTACTAGAGATCATATTACTGACATTTCTATTACATATGATTACTGTTATACCTTTAATATAAGTATATCTGTTTTAAGCTTTTAAACACAAATGTAAAAATCCATTTTAGAATTCCTATTATTGAAATTGTTTTACCTATAACAACAAAGACACAAGACATGTAAGAAAATCTCTTTAGTTATCACTAACATACCCCCAAAGAGCAATGATGAGTGGGGCACAATCTCTCCTTTAAAAATACTAATTAGCACTATAGATCAATGGAAGACTCCTAGACTTAGCACTGAAGTGAATGAATTTTAGTGTAAGGTTCACTGCATCATTTTTTTTCTCAACTAGCACAAATGTAGAAACAAGGCCAGGAAATCATCACAAGTGGATTTACATCATGAGGATATAGTATAGGAAGGGGGCTCAAAACATGTCTGTTGAAGACACAAATGAACAAATGACAACATGAATGAATGACAGGCTACTTCACAGAAGTATTTTATGGAGATCAAAGACCTGACAATATAAGCGGTTAGGCACATGAATGGCCTGTGTTCCTGGTCCACAGCTCTATGGCCTTAGGCAATGGCTTTATTTATTTTAAACTCTTAGGCTTCAGTCTTCTTGTCTATGAAACAGGGATAATAATGGACTATAACCCATGGAGTTGCTGTAAGGTTAAATGAAATAATACATGTAAAGTATTTGCCCAAAGTAAATGTGACAAATGTTAGCTGTTATCACCTACCAGTAAATTGAGTTCATCTCAGTTTCATTTCTTGAATTACGGGCATAAAGACGCCTTCTCTACTTGTTATGAGGATCGCGTGGGAGATTGGAAATGACATTTCAGTGCTACATAAAAGTAACGCTGTCTATGATAAGGTTACTGTGACGTGTTACTCCGTGTTGAAGAATGACAGTGGGTTACACATACTTTCACTAAACTGTATTGGACCTGAAGCATTTTAATGAGGATCATTTCTCTTGTGGCTACAAAACTCACCCTGTGAGATGACAGCCAGTCTGTGACTAAGTCAAAACTAACTGGTTTATAAAGAAGCAAATCTATGACTCATAAACAGAATAACATTCACTTTCTCCCTCATCGTGAATGAACTGTTCCAGCACTATTTAAAGCTGAGGAGTCTGTATTTTTCAGTGAAAACCTTTAGGACTATTTGGTGGCAGCAACTTTTTTATAGCGTCTATTTATTTTTTCATTTAGCCCAAGATTTTTGATGACTTGAGTAAGGACAAATATAAAAAGAAGAGAGTAATGACTCACAGGTAGACTCAAGCTAATATTAGTCATTAATCCATTCACTAGGAATGATTACATAGAACAAATGACTATAAAAGTTTCCAATGACAAAACAATAAATAAAAAAATTCATACCTCACAGGTTGTAAATCAAAACCACTGACACCAAAGGAATCTATTCTGATAGGTTTCATCAGCTCCTCTACTGTGGGCAGATCTAAGAGGCGGAAAAAAGAGCAGAAACAAAAAATGTAATGTAGGTTGCTTAATTTACATGTGTAAGAGCACCAAAATTATATTTTCTCTGACACAGTTAATACAACAGTACATGCAATAAGCCTGGTTTTCCATCTTAAGTTTCCTTATACCAGGAAAACTTCCTTTCTTATGAAATATCAAATAAATATCTCAAATATCAATATTAAATATATTTATCAAAAAATATTTATACACAAACACACTCTCAGTACATATTTGGTTGATCCTGAAATGCTGTTCTCTAACAAAATACAACTTTAGTATATGTACAGGCAAAAGACTAAAAATGTCCCTTTAAGTGACTTCTTAATTTGATCAAGGCATATTGGAAAAGAAACTAGGCCAGGCGCAGTGGCTCAAACCTGTAATCCCAGCACTTTGGGAGGCCAAGACGGGTGGATCACCTGAGGTCAGGAGTTCGAGACCAGCCTGATCAACATGGTGAAACCCCATCTCTACTAAAAATACAAAAATTAGCTGGGCGTAGCAGCAGGTATCTGTAATCCCAGTTACACAGGAGGCTGAGGCAAGAGAACTGCTTGAACCAGGTGGCGGAGGCTGCAGTGAGCCAAGACAGCGCCACTGCACTCCAGCCTGGGTGACACAGCAAGACCCCGTCTCAAAAAAAAAAAAAAAAAAAAAAAAATGAATTTTTTTTTTTTGTTTGGCTCTAATTTTATAGTTAAGCCAATGATTCCTGTATTTCATTTGAAAAAAATCTTTTTTTTTTTTTTTTTGAGGCAGAGTCTCATTCTCTTGCCAGGGCTGGAGGAACACTGGTGTGATCTTGGCTCACTACAACGTTCGCCTCCTGGGTTCAAGCTATTCTCCTGCCTCAGCCTCCCAAGTAGCTGGGACTACAGGCGTGCGCCACCATGTCCAGCTAATTTTTGTATTTTTAGTAGAGATGGGGTTTTATCATGTTGCCCAGGATGGTCTCAATCTCTTGACCTCATGATCCACCCACCTCGGCCTCCCAAAGTGTTGGGATTACAGGTGTCAGCCACCTCGTCCGGCTGAAAAAAAACTCTTTAATTAAGCTCAGAGACTGAGAAACAATCACTACAGCAAATTGTATTTTAATTATATTACACTAAAAACTCTTTAGAAAGGATATCAAATAATTGAAAAATTCATCTATCAGTTTTTACCGGATTCCATAGTAGAGATGTTTTTTGAATTCTCTTCATTTTCTTGAGAATGACCTTTCACTGAGCTCTTGATATCTTCCATTGTATTACTATCAATTTTTTGTTTGTCTTCATCTCCCAATGAATGGGCTATATGACAATAAGCTTGATGTAGGGCTTCAACATCACTACTGCTTTGCCCATAGGAAACACCTGCTGAAATAAACGTAATCACCAGAAATAATTACACCACAAATACATGAGAACTATAAAACACTAATATCATTTCTTAACCTGTTAGGAATACAAAAGTAGGGTTAAGTACCAACTAGGTAATTTGCAGCTATGGCCTACCAGCATGGATTCACAGCAGGCTCAACAACTCTTTGAGCAAGTTGAGGCGTGTCCTGATGTGGTAAGTATAAAATCTGCCTTCACTAGTCATTGCTCTTTCTACTACTATTCTTAATCAACTCCCTCTGCATTGGATAAAACTATTCTTAAGTTTCCCAAACTAAAAAATTCCTTTGAAGGATTCTACCTCTCCTTTACCATTACCATTCTCTCTGCTTCTCTGTACCACCAAGCATCCTGTCATCTACACTTTTTCAACCACAATGAATTCAGTCCTCTAACTTTGCAATCCAATGTATTCCAACATCCTGCTAAAGCTGTTATGATCAAAAGCAGTTTCCTAATGACCAACTCCATTTGTCTTTAGTTCTCTTCAACTATGTGAGACATCTGACATTGTCTTTTTCACTTTATCTTAGCCAAAAGGCAGAGAAGTCATACGTTGTTTTTTTTCCTAGTAACTGTTTCTTCTGCATGCCTTCTTCTTTTTGTTATTACCACCATTTTGACGGCAGTTTTCCATCTCTTATGGTCTATAGTTCATTTCAGGGCTCCATCTTCAGTCCTCTTCTTTTGAACACCTCACTTACTAGTTTTTTGGCCTGGCTAATTTCATGAAGACTTTTAGCTTCAACTATTACCCATATGCTTATGACTCCAAAATCTATGTCTTGCGTCCTTATAACTCTTTTCTGAATATCAACTTAACAGGCATCTAGATTGTCCTATATCACATCTACATATTCCCCAACTGAATTCATTATATTCCCTACTAAAATTTGTTCTACTACCAGTATTTCCTAATCACATCACTATTTAGTCAGTCACAATAGAAACCTTGATGTCCTCATTCACTCTTCCTTCCCTATTAGCCTTCTGATATAGTTTGGCTGTGTTCCTACCCAAATCTCATCTTGAATTGTAACTCCCACAATTCCCATGTGTCGTGGGAGGGACCTGGTAGGAGGTGATTGAATTATGGGGGTGGGTCTTTTCTGTGCTGTTCTCATGATAGTGAATGAGTCTCATGAGATCTGATGGTTTTAAAAACAGGAGCTTCCCTGCACAAGCTCTCTTTGCCTGCCACCATCCATGTAAGATGTGACTTGCTCCTCCTTGCCTTCTGCCATGATTGCGAGGCTTCCCCAGCCATGTGGAACTGTAAATACAATAAATCCTTTTTCCTGTATAAATTACCCAGTCTTGGGTATGTCTTTATCAACAGCATGAAAATGGACTAATATACCCTCTCTTTCCACCAACTGACAAATTCTAGAAAAAAGAATTCAAAAAATTTAATGTTAATAATGATTGCACAGTTTTGAGTACTTACTCATTTTGTAATTTTTATTACTGACAAGTGGAATTTTCAAAATTAGAGGAAAATAATGAATCACAGAAGACAGAAAAAAAAGAAGAAAAACAGGTGACTAATCTCTTCTCTTCATACCCATGGTTAATTAATCAGTTATTAAAAATAAAATAGTATATATAGTCTCATCTTCCTATATATACAATGTAAGTTGTGTATATACACAACTTCTAAACAAAAGAGACAGCCAAGTGCTACATACAAGATTGTGTAAGAATGCCTTACAATGAGATGTCTTTCTAGCTAGTGCTTCAGGTCCCCATGGCTACATGAAGTATACCCAAATAACAAGTTTGCTTAAATAAACTAAAAACAGAAGGGGATACAGCCAACAGTTGAAGGGCAGAGATTTTCAAGAGGACATGAGGAAAAAGGTCTTGCTTGTAGCATGAATGAAAGAGATCATTAATTTTCAAGAAAAAAGGAAAAGCACACGGTGCCATTTTTTCCTCTACAAAAATATCAGGTTGAGCAAGTATCTGCTGAGCATACATAAAAGAAATTACTTCAATGGTAAAGACCATAATAGTATCAAATGCTCATACCTAATTTAGTAGGTATGAGGTGTCAGAAAGAATAGGTTCTAGGCTTTTAAGCAACAACAGAGCAAACATGCAGAAAAACAAATGACCTAAAAGTTAGAAATGAAAAAAAAAAAAAAAAAAAAAAAAAAACCTCCCAGAGGCTACTCAAAAAATGGCAGGAAAATGGTACTTTTCTAACTTGAGTTATTAACCTAAGTCATTTTAAAAATAATTTCATGGTTATGTAAGTTAACTTTTTTTCCAAGTATATCATGAAAAGGGGTTCCTTATCTGCCTTTTACATTGAAAACAGAAGACTCTGTAGTTATTTTACGTATTATTATTACAAGTCAAAAGCTCTCATATATTTCAACTTTAGAAAATTGAGGCTAGGCATGGTGGCTCACACCTGTAATCCCAGCACTTTGGGAGGCTGAAGCAGGCGGATCACTTGGAATCAAAAGTTCAAGACCAGCCTGGCCAACATGGTGAAACCCCATCTCTACTAAAAAAATACAAAAATTAGCCAGGCGTGGTGAGGTGCACCTGTAATCCCAGCTACTTGGGAGGCTGAGACAGGAGAATCGCTTGCACCCAGGAGGCGGAGATTACAGTGAGCAGAGACCACGCCACTGCACTCCAGCCTGGGTAACAGAGCAAGATTCTATTTCAAAAAAAATAAACAAATAAAAAATAAAAAAATAAAAGAGAAAGTTGAGAAGTGCCAGATACTATTTTGCAGAGGAAAGGGTCTAATTTCATGGAGCAACACTGTCATCCTGTGATGACTCCAGTAATGGAGGCATAGCACAAAATGGTACTTGCCTGTGAGACAAATGAAAGTAAACGAAAGGTTAGATCTAGTCTGGTGTTAGGAAACCTTAAGTTCTATATTTACTAACCTCTTTGATACAGCAAAGCACAAAGAATTTCAGAAATAATATTTTTAACAAAAGAGAATCTTTGACAATGTTTAAAGTTAGGCAGTGTTTGAAAATTAACCAATGGTTGTTAAAGTTAGCTGCTTAACACATGAAGTGATATGGTAAAACAAACAAAAACCCATTGAACTTTTCAGTTGTTAAACCTAGTTCACATACTCATATGAAGACTTTCAAGTATATCTTTTATTTTATTTATTTATTTATTTTTTGAGATGGAGTCTCACTCCATCGCCCAGCCTGGAGTGCAATGGCATGAACTTGGCTCACTACAACCTCCACCTCCCAGGTTCAAGCGATTCTCCTGCCTCAGCCTTCCGAGTAGCTGGGATTACAGGCACGTGCCACCACACCTGGCTAATTTTTTGTATTTTTCAGTAGAGACCGGGTTTCATCATGTTGGTCAGGCTGGTCTCGATCTTCTGACCTCAGGTGATCCACCTGCCTCAGCCTCCTAAAGTGCTGGAATTACAGGCAGGAAACAATGCACCTAGCTGAAGACTTTAAAGTATGTATTTTAAACACCAGAAATTCAATACGCCGCAGCCAACAAGTGTTTATACTGTATAACTCTAGGTTCTCTACTGCAGCATGTATTAGTAACACAGGGTTGACACAAATAATGACGATAATAACAACAACAAAGTTGTAACTGTTTAGTGACTCCTAAAAATGTACTATGGACAATATTTCATCTCAGTTGACCATCATGAGGGTTCATTTTAAAGAAGAGAAAACATGCTTACAGGTAGGTACTCATTATCCAATGTCACATAGCTGGTAACTGGCAAGGTTGAAAATATGAATCCAAATCTACATGATAGTAAGTTCATGCTCTACTACGTTCAAGTAACGGACTAATCAAATTATCCTGGAGTCAAGAATATTTAAGAATTAAGACCAAAAAACTACAGCTTTATATAACTGCTTAGATCATCTTAATAAAATTTTTACTTTTAGAAATGAATATTTTATTTCTGAGGTTTTCTTAAAACCTACAGTACTGGTTTTCATACTGTGTATGCAACTGATTTTGTTATCAGTTTTTCAGAGAAAATCATGGGTTTCACAGATGTATTATTGAAATTCCATTTTAAATCATGCTTTAAAACTTAAACATTATAATAGAAGCTAATCTGCACACTCAAATGTACCATTTATGTAACTGTAGTAATCTGAAGACATTATGTAATTATAGTATTTTTAATAATTTTGCTTTCTTCTTTACTTGTTTCAATGCACATCTCAGAATAAAGTTTCTCTGGTCATCCTGAGTACATGAATTTCCTATAAAATACTGTTAATCAGAAAAGCTGTAGCTGTACGATGGCCTTTTAAAAAAATTCATGTCTGCCTACTGAAAACTGTGCAAGGGGACAGACTATCAAAGCATGTATGTGACATGGTTCCTTAAATCAACAGCAGTAAAACTGGGGGACATGCACTCAGCACATGCTTACATCATGGTGGAATACTCAGTTGGGCAACAAGTGAGTAATGTGTCTTGATGTGGAAATTATGTCTTATAGTTGTAATTTTTTGACCTTTATATTTTAAAATGAAAGTAGATGTAACAAGTCAAAATAGTGGTGACTCTTGGAAAGACAGTGACTAGAAATCAGAGATGTGATGGACATTGTGGTTAAAGTCCTCTTGTTTTTTATCTGGTTGCCAATTACATGGGTGTGCTCGGTATTTCAAAACTCACTGAGTTGCACTACTGTGATACCACAAACTTTTCTATAGGTATATTATATATCAATTAAAAAGTAAAAAGCAAAAAAAAAAAAAAAATGAAATGCAAGCTGATGATGGTTAGTGATTTCTGAGTTGGTTAGTGATTTCCATTACTCTTTTTTATCAAGTGTCTGAACTGGTTTAGTTAACCAGTATCCATAGACTGCAAAGCAAGCTGATTAAAAAGTTCCCACTTGCAGCTATTTATGTGATAAAACAAGAGTATTTTTATACTATTCAATCAACAAAAACAAAAAACACAAACACACTGGAAGGCTGATGGTGATATGAGACCGTAACAATCTCAATAGTTTCTAATTTCAAAAATTCCAAAAGACCATTACTATCCTCACCTATTTTATGAACAAATGTAACAAATATAAGTTTAAATATTTATTCTGATAAAATATCATTTTTACTTATGAGACAGTTCTACATAAGATTTCAATTGAAGATGTGCACTTCACTGCTTTAAAAAATTTTCAAAAGGCATTATCTTGAAGACCTTTATAAGCTTTAGGAAAGTCTAGTTGGTCTCAGGTATTTCAGAATTTGGGGATGGGGTGTAGCTTTTTCCTAAAGAACTACGGAAAAGCACAATAAGACCAAAGTCCCATTTCTCCTACACATGGCAGATTTAACGGAATACTCTGGAGAGGCATAGAAAATTAGTTAACGTTCACCTAGAGTGCTACACTTTTATCAACATCATTTATTCATTTATTAATAAATATTTATTTAAAACCTCACTTGACTTGGCCTACTTGCATTGTGCAAATTTCAATTAAATTATTACATATGGTAGAAAAATGTGAGATTTAAAGTTTTCATTATCAATATGGTTATTACATATACATTTCCTTAGAAATGTAGTCAATTATTCATAAAGCATTCCATATTTAGAGAACAGTCAGGTTTCCAAACATTTTTACCTGTTCCTGTCATTTCATTCTCAGTCATTTCTGGTAGGCCCCTTGGCTTAGGTGTTATTTGATCTTGTTCATCAAGATTGATCTCTGCAACAGAGTCTAGTGAATCAAGCAGCACAACTGGAAGAATATAAAAGAAAAATGTAAGGAATGTAGATAAACTCAGTGGTTCTGCTGATCGAATAAAATTATTTTAAACATACGCAACGCAGGCCGGGTGCGGTGGCTCATGCCTATAATCCCAGCACTTTGGGAGGCCAAGGTTGGCGGATCACAAGGTCAGGAGATGGAGACCATCCTGGCTAACACGGTGAAACCCCGTCTCTACTAAAAATACAAAAAATTAGCCGGGCGTGGTGGCGGGCACCTGTAGTCCCAGCTACTCGGGAGGCTGAGGCAGGAGAATGGCGTGAACCCGGGAGGCAGAGCTTGCAGTGAGCCGAGATTGCGCCACTGCACTCCAGCCTGGGTGACAGAGTGAGACTCCGTCTCTCAAACACAAAAGAACAGATGCAATGCATATAAAAAGAAAGATAAATGCTTATATACAAAGAACATATAATCTTATATATATATGTAACAAGCATGTTTTAACTATATGCGTGTGTATGTATATGACAAATACGATTTTCTTCCGACGTAGAAGACCGTAGACTAACATCAACATACATATCTATGCTTATGTACAGCCTAGTGTACATGTACACACGGAAGGCAAAGGGCATTAAGAAAAGTAAAAAAAATCTTAAATACAACAGAATGGATTCAAAATAGACAAAAGAAACACATTAGTGAGAAAAGCTAGGAACTTTAATTCCTTAGAAATATTTAAAAACAAACACAGATAGTGACTCATTCAGAATTACTTAGATGAAATTCTGAACAGACTAATTTTTTGCCAACTAAAAGATGAATATAAATAATATTTACCATTAGCTAGCATGCCAGTTTTTTCTTCTTCCTAAATTAAAAAAGGAAAATGATGACATGTTTTGAAATCAAAATTAGGTAAAATGACCACAATGCAAATAACAGCAAAATCTGAAATCCAGGGCTTTGTATTCCACATTGAAAAGATCAGGAACTGTGTTTTCTAGGCTTCTTTCACCAACCACTCTCACTTATCAATAATTCTTCAAGACTAGCTCTGACGGAACATCTAAAATTCTCTTCTGAACCTTGGCAATTACCAAAATTAATTCAGACCTTACAAATTCTTGCTTAAAGTATTTAAGTTCCATTTGCTCATCTACCTTGCTCAAGAATTCTCTAGTTTTTTTGAATGTCAAGACAACAGAGCTATTTCACACAAGAGTTCTGCAATTATAACATTACCAGTCTATTTTCACTTATTGTTCAAAATTAATGGCCAAATACCTTGTACTCATTATTTCATCTATGTTTCAAAAGACACAACTTTCAGAAAGACAGGCCACCAAACAGCAAGACAGATGAAGTTCTTCAATATTAGAGGTTCCCTTAGAATAAGTTTTCCTATTAATATCACCTCTACCTCCTACTTGGGTAGGCAGTTTGTGGGATCTTCCAATAACAGAGCTTTAATCCTTCCTATTTTGATTCTTACCCAGACAGTGCTCTGAAGCTTCCACAATTAGGCTGATACATTTTTTTATATATGGTACACCTTCTAAATATACCACGGTATTATGCCTTCTACGCACCTATTCATCTTTTCTTTTTTCTTTTTTTTTGGAGACAGGGTCGTGCTCTGTCACCCAGGCTGGAGTGCAGTGGCTCGATCTTGGCTCAATGCAACCTCTGCCTCTATGGTTCAAGCAATTCTCCTGCCTCAGCCTCCCGAGTAGCTGGGACCTCAGGCACATGCCAACCATGCCCGGCTAATTTTTTATATTTTTAGTAGAGAAGGGGTTTCACCATGTTGGCCAGGCTGGTGACCTATTCATTTTTCAATAAAATATTGTAATGGCCATATTCTAAGTATAAATCTTATTAAATTTCTAAGGATATTCATCAGTCACATTAATTTCGATATTATTTCTAAGGTCATCTCATTTTTCCCTCAAAACTGAGTGACACGTAGACACCCAAGGACCAAATACTAAGTAAATTTAAAAATAAGAGGATTTATATATACCTGAAAAGTGTTTATCTTGAGTTTACAATTTCATTCACGTTAAAACATCTAGTCCTAACACACAGAACCAAAGAGACTGTGCCCAGACACAGACCAAATAAATAGTAATAACAAATAACAAAACAACAATATTAATTGTTCTAGCTACTATTAGATAGCTTCAAAGATAAGTTCTATAAGGTAGGCAATATGAAGAAGCAGCCCTGAACAATTCTTGGTAAGAACTGGGAAATGAGAGAATCAGAGAATGAAGCGCCACTGAATATGAATGGAATCATGTCGTTCCTTATCTTAGCCAAGTAAGTTTCAGACGTAACTAGCATAAATATCAGGGAGGAACATTTACTATACTTCATAAAGGCAAGTCATACCAAAGAAAAAGTATAAGTTAATATACTTGTTTAAAAATTAGTTTTGAAATTTTAATTAAGCTTTCAATTTCTAAAACTTAAGCTTAACTTATTTGCCAAAAGAAGTCTTTGTCTGTTTGTCTGAGATAGGGTCTCACTTATCAACCAGGCTGGAGTGCAGTGACATGATCACAGGTCACTGCAGCCTTGACCTCCCTGGCTCAAGTGATCCTCCTACCTCAGTCTCCTAAGTAGCTGGGACCATGGGCACTTGCCACCATACTTTGCTAATTTTTTAAGGATTTATTCTTTGGAGAGATGAGATCTCACTATGCTGTCCAGGTTGTCCTTGAGCTCCTGGGCTCAAACAGTCCTCCTGCCTCAGCCTCCCAAAGTGTTGAAATTATAGGCATGAACCACTGTGCCTGGCCAAAAACCTCTCATAAAATCATCAATTGTCATAATTTTTTTCATTAAGATTTACATTAATTTGATATCTTGAATTAAGAAAATGTTTAACTGTTAAGAGACCTGTGAGTTTACAACAATGAGCAAGATTATGAAGAACTCCATTTTTTGAGCTCTTCATATAGCAACAGGCAGCCAGGTTGATGAAAAAAGTTGCAAAACTGTCAAATATATAATTGATATATACCTGTTTGGGTACACTTATTTTTTCTGATTTGGAATTCTCTTTGGAAGGCATCTCTTCATCTTTAGTAGTCAACGGTGCACCAACATACTCATCTTCAAAATCATCACTGTAATTTTCTGAAGAAAATAATTATTAAAAGTACAAAGACCACACTGTCAAAAAAGTCAAATTCCAGGAAAAGGCTGTTGATTTCCAAAGGAAGAAGTCTGTATAAGAACAGTTTATTGAAATATTAACATAAAGATGCCTTTGGAGAATCTATAGAACTCCCCACCACAAATAAACAGAATATACATTCTTCTCAGCATCACATCACACTTATTCCAAAACTGATCACATAGTTGGAAATAACGCACTCCTCAGCAAATGTAAAAGAACAGAAATCATAACAAACTGTCTCTCAGACCATGGTACAATCAAATTACAACTCAGGATTAAGAAACTCACTCAAAACCACACAACTACATGGAAATTGAACAACCTGCTCCTGAATGACTACTGGGTAAAAACGAAATGAAGGCAGAAATAAAGATGTTCTCTGAAACCAGTGAGAACAAAGACACAACATACCAGAATCTCTGGAACACATTTAAAGCAGCGTGTAGATGGAAATTTATAGCACTAAATGCCCACAAGAGAAAGTAGGAAAGATCCAAAATCGACACCCTAACATCACAATTAAAAGAACTAGAGAAGCAAGAGCAAACACGTTCAAAAGCTAGCAGAAGGCAAGAAGTAACTAAGATCAGAGCAGAACCAAAGGAGATAAGAGACGCAAAAAACCCTTAAAAAAAAATCAATGAATCCAGGAGCTGGTTTTTTGAAAAGATCAATAAAATTGATAGACCGCTAGCAAGAATAATAAAGAGGAGAGAAGAATCAAATAGATGCAATAAAAAAATGATAAAGGGGATATCACCACCGATCGCACAGAAATACAAACTAGCATCAGAGAATACTATAAACACCTCTATGCAAATAAACTAGAAAATCTAGAAGAAATGGATAAACTCCTTGACACATACACCCTCCCAAGACTAAACCAGGAAGAAGGTGAATCCCTGAATAGACCAATAACAGGCTCTGAAATTGAGGCAATAATTAGTAGCCTACCAACCAAAAAGAGTCCAGGACCAGATGGATTCACAGCCGAACCCTACCAGAGGTAAAAAGAGGAGCTGGTACCATTCCTTCTGAAACTATTCCAATCAATAGAAAAAGAGGGACTCTTCCCTGACTCATTTTATGAGGTCAGCATCTTCCTGATACCAAAGCCTGGCAGAGACACAACAACAAAAAAAGAGAATTTTAGACCAATATCCCTGATGAACATCGATGCAAAAACCCTCAATAAAATACTGGCAAACTGAATCTCTTTCTCTTGCCTGATTGTCTAGCCAGAATCCAACACTATGTTGACATAGGAGTGGTCGAAGAGGGCATCTACTGTCTTCGTGCCTCAGTTTTCAAACGGAATGCTTCCAGTCTTTTGCCCCAGTTCATAGATATTCGGCTGTGGCGTTGCTCATAACATACGCTCCTTATGATCTCTGAGATATGTTCCATCAATACTGAATTTACTGAGCAGCTTCTTAAGCATCGACAGGGGCCTGTTAACACTTTGTCACAAATCTGACGATTGTGCATTCGCATTGACGATAATCCATGCTGTTCTTCTGCTCTTTTGCGCTTCTGTTACTATGTGGATTACCGTTATATTGATTTGCGTAATGTTGAAACCAGCCTTGCATCCCAGAGATGAACCCACTTGATCATGGTGATAAGCTTTTTGATGTCTGCGGATTCA